AGACGAAGGTCACTGGTATGCTCTTGGCCGGTATAGGTCACGTGGATGGACAAGGTGGGCTCTGCAGCCATGTGTTAGTTTCGTAATTTGTCTCCAGGCATGTTTCTTGATTTTCAGCGCCATCTCCGTAAAACCCCCGACTCCCACCAGCTCAGTTTTCGGATGTGAGGTGCAGTCCGGTCGGACCCGTCGGTCACACTTCCCGCAGACAAGACTCAGACTCACAAGACGGTCCTGCCACGGCTAGGCAAGAAGAACTTCCTTGTCGTAGACTCGAAGGTTCACATCAAGGACCGGAGCTTTGAAGTGCCTCATTCATGCCCTCAGGCCTGCACACTCCTTTGCGCCGCTGCTCCAGACGAGAAGCCAAGACCTTGCGAGGACATAGAAGACCATTTCAACGACTTGACGACGTGGTGTGCCCAGTGCGGGGAGAACTAGAATCTAGCCGAGGTGACTGAAGCGATGGCGTCTTCTTATGTACCAAAAACGGGCTTGGGCAAAATAACAGAATGGCAACCAGTTCTGAGTTGCAATGTCGATCGGCATAGCCAAAATGAACCTCAGAGACATCATGACCATGACCACCATCGTTTCTATGCTCGTGATGAGGTGAGGCTGATGAAAACGATGACTAGTATAACGACAATTACAATGCTGCTGATGATGGTTGTGACGTTTCTGATATTTGCAGTCCTTGCATTTTTATGATCATAAGGTGCAAGAGAAGTATCATCATCATCATCATCATCATCATCCAACACCATCAATGGGGATCCTCGTCACTGTCGTTGTGGTGAGAGACACTGCTGCTGGGGTGCCTTTGCCAGTCGCAATCATGCAAACAGAGGACTTCTTGTCTGGACGGTTGGACTTCCTGATCTGCGGGCTTTGGGGTTTGGAGTTCTTGCTTCCGGGATGCGTTTTATCTTGGAAGCTGCTCCAGGAGAAAAGACATCTCCATGATCCTGATCACCCAAGACAGTGCGGAGCTGTTGGCAACCCAGGTCTGGTTGTGTCCAGCAAAGGTTTTCAAAGCCCACGAGCTCTGTCCGGTGCGGACGTTGTCAAGGCTCCGGATAGAAAGTTCGCGGATTCACCACTTTTAAGCAGTTTGTTGCGGCAACAACAAAAACACCTGCGTTTATACTATAACAAGTGCGATGCGTAGTTGAGAGCCACCTCTTGTTCTGTCATAATGCTGGTGGTTCCTGTCTTGTCTGTCGGTACATGGCTACATCGGGCTTACCCATCAGCATTGTTTAGCCTCCGGGTTCCTGGAGCCTCGTGCCCTGGTCTTCATCCAAAAGCCCTCAAAGCTCGGACGCTGAAGACAAACGTGCCCTTCTTCGTGACATTCCGTTCAGAATATTGTACTGTTGCTCTCAGCCTAGGATGCACGAGAACGAATCTTTTGCATCTAAACGGGAGAACTAAGGATCCGACGAGCGGTGGACGAGTTCGCGAACAGCGCGCAGATGGTTCCTACGGTTTTGGAGATCCCTTCCAAGGCATTCCGGGCATGTATCTGTTTCTCCCCAGATACTTTTCTTCCAGCGTGTAGAGAGTACCAAGGTTTCGCGGATTCTGCTGCGTATAGATTCCCACATTGTAGCTCGGCTCCTTCTCATAGGCCCAGCGGTCGACACAACTTAGACGACAAGACCGAGAGACACGATCGGACACAAAGGATACTCCTTACGATGCGCGAAAAGATGGCGTGTGGGCCTCGCTTTTGCTACAGTTGTGTTTGTTGCTGCCTTGTCGGGATGTTACAGGGGGTTGAACTGGTACTTATTCTTTGTTCCGGTTATTCAGGCATTCTTCGGCGGTGTGCAGCAAGCACTACGGTAAATGAGTTTCTGAAGAAGCTTTGCTTGAAATTGGTCTGGTGATGTCTCTGACTAACATGTATCTATACTAAAGAGAGATGGTACACCAACATCCGTTGCAGATGATGCTTGTCTGTCGATATGGCTGCATCGTCTTGGCCCAGGTCATGCAGAGAGTAGCCTTCTTCTTGCCTAGCGCCTGGACCTTAGAAGCGTCCGAAAGTTGATTTCTCAGTTGATCCAGTGAGCCTTCCTCGTGCCCTTAACAGCTGAAACTGGGACTCGAAGCTGCACCTAGAACCCACATGGGTGGTTGTCAAAACTAGGGTCCCTTGTCGGGTCCTTAGTATAATAAGGCACCAATTCTTTAAGGTACCCAAAAGGGACCTTAGTTTTGACAACTACCCACATACTGCAGGCAAATCACAAGTACGGACAGTGTTCCCAGCATTGGAAACGTTGTGAACAGGAAGAACAGCATTCTTTGGAGTGACAGTCGGCTTCTACTGCCAATGCCGTTTCCAGTGCAGCCTTGTGAAGTTAATTCGTACTTGTGAAGTTAATTCGTATGTTGGGTAAAGTTCTGAAGCATAGCCAATAGTTCACATGTTCTTCCATCATATTTACGGGCGAGGTTAATGTACCCGATTAGGCAGGCAGGAACACGTCTTGAGTGCATGTGCCTTTTGCATGTGCCTTGCATCATCCTACATCTTTGCAGTCGCCCGCTGTAGTTATCGTTCTGACGGCTTTTTTTTCAAGCGATGTCGTCTTCGCCGTGGCACGGCGGTGGCAAAGCCCTGGCCCGTTTGAGTCCCCAAGGCAATGGCTGCCTTGGGAGTGGAGGTCTGAGGTGCAGTGCAGTCCTTTGAGCTACTGGCAGTAAACCAGTGCTCGATGAGTGCTTTTCTAGTGCTCTCTTTGCAGATCGACTGGCCTACCAGCAACAACAAGAAGTACGACCACAGCAACGAAAGTAACAATAAAAATAAGAGCAACAGCAGCAACAGCAGCAAGCACAAGAACAGCAACAGTAGTAAGTAGTAGTACTAGCACAAGCTGTACGTATGTGCGTGACGAGCAAGCATAGTTGTTCCCGTCCCGGCAAAGCAGATGCGAAGGCCCGTGAACAGTTGCAGCCGTGGCCTCATTGCGTAGAAAGGGAATGCCATGTAGTTGTGCCCATGACCCAAGACCGTTTGCTCCGAAGTTTTTCTATACAAGCCTTCGTTCCTGCTTGGCCCGCGGACGCCTGCATCTCGTCATGGGATCAGCAGATCTGACACGCAGTTGAGAAGTGTTTAAGTGTTTGTGTCTGTGTGTGCGTGTTAGATATTCGTCCTTGTCTGCCAGGGAGCATCGGTTGTGGGCAACCGGCATGTTGAACGCAATTGTCGACGAATCCCAAAGTCTCCTTGTCCGAAAGAATCGAAGTCTAGAGACAGAACTCTACTATTCGCTTAAGGCCTTGTAGAGACCCTGCTGCCCGAAGTCTCACGAAAACCCTCCGATTGTGTGCCTGCTTCCTGACAGCGGGGCTGCCACGGCTCTAAAATGTCACGCGTGCTTCTTTGATTGTGGAACGCATATTGGGTCGATCGCCTGCCATGCCAGTACAGTACAGCTTGAGCAAGTGAAATTTAGTTTACTGTCCTGATCTGCAGAATGAGATCACTAGCCTTCAAGTTCCTGGCCTCATGTCAGAAAACTCAAGTTTCCCAGCTAACAGAGGCAAAGGTTTGCTGTATTTTGCTGCCGCAGAGAGACGTCATGACAAGTGTTGCTTGCATTTTTGTTTTTCGTGGGTGATGCAATGACAGTGCCGTGCTCAAGATCTGAAGCCCGAGGCCCCGGTTGCTATGATCAGCGAGGTGTTTTATCAAGGTTCGTGTCGCACAGACTGTCGAGGCCGCACGGCTGAAACTCGAGCAGATCGAAGAATTGCAAACGATAAGAAACCTGATGCTTGAAGCGCCGGCACATGCAGTAAGAATTGACAGCCTAGCCCCCCTTCTGCCTCCGTGATGTGGCTCTCTCTGCAGTGTCACGGCAGCAAGTTTCCCGTTGTGAGCGGAGTGAAAGTTCGTAAGGAGGTCAGGGAAACATGGGCTCCTGGACAGTCTGATCTGGGCGCGTCTAGCTGATGTCGGAGGAGGCATTCGTTGGCAACTCCTGAAGGCACCGTCGCGAAATCTACAGCACGCGTATCTGTAGAACTAAGTGGATTTTCCAATACTTCTTGGAAGGGAGACCGCTAGATTTGACAAGAGCTGCTAGCAGTCCACGAATGCCTACGATCGCAAGAGCCGAGCTTTCTCGGGAAGGGGTTGCTGGAAGATAGTGCCTCTCTCTGAGTGCTGCAGCTTTGCCAAGTCGATCAGCAACACTGGCCAGACCGCAATGCGCATGCACATGAATATATGATCCCGGTCACTCCCCCCCAATGGTTCCTCCTCCCCCCCCCGGTGTGGTGTGGTTGTGGGTTGCTTCCCCCTCCCTGTGGTGTGGTGTGGTTCGGGAGTGGGTCTGCTTAGGCCGGTTACCCCCCCCCTATGGTGTGGTGTGGTTTGGGTTTCCTGCGTGCGTCTGCTTGGCGTGTGAACCCTCGTCTAAAACAAGCTTGCACAGTCACACACAGATTCGGCTTGGGGAGCAGGGGGGGGGGGGGGCGGGGGGGGATACCATTGGGGGGGGGCTCGGTGAACCGAGAACCGGGATCATGTATGATCATCACCCCACGTGTGTGTGTATATATATATATGTATATATACATGCCCGTTGGCCCCATATGTATGTACGTCAGGACTTGAGACAAAGGCACTTAGACATTAAGCCCACTCCAAAGCCCATGCCCTAGACCCTACTACACCCTGAAGCCTAAACCCTCAGCCCTACGCCAATTCCTTTTTCACCCTGGAGTGTTTGTTTCATTATGTCTATGCATCTGGGTCTGAGGGCCTTAGACACATGCTTCGTGGCCGAGGTTGCTATGCAGATCTTGTGGTTAGAGGAGGTGCAAGCTAGGACCTGCAATACGTCACATCGAGCGAACCGGACAACTTATCGGTATCGGCCCGCTGCCGGGCTTGCTGGCACGTGCATTTTGTCTTGCTATGATTGCTTCATGTGTCGCGGCTCGAACTATCCACACCCGAGACTGATTCAGCCATGTTCTCGCCGTCGAGAGTAGATGCGATCAATGGCATTGCGAGCATACTGGAGCGGAAGTTGGGCTTGGATCGAGATTTCCGTGCCAAAGATTTGTCTTCAAGGTCTGCACCTCTGCAAGCCAAGCTGGTGGCAGACATCACAGCAGTGCCTGTTCCAGCAGTGATTCTACGGCAAGTCCAGATGCATCTTGAAGTACCGCATCTTGGACAGAGCATCAGAATGGAAAGGAAGAGCTCCGACAAGCTGCTCTCCTGTCAGGTTTCTGCAGCATACGCCAAACTACGGCAGCTCGGCTGTGAGTTTCGTCATTTGATCGAGCAAGAAAGTCTGCTGCTGCCGCTGGGCGGTGTCGCCTCTTCCCTCCATCCGGGCTCGCAGCTCGTTGCAAATCTCCTCTGTGTATGGACGGTCCGCTTTCTCGTTCACACGCTCCAAGTTGGAGCTCATGGCCACACAGAGACCGCAGCAGGAGTCATGCAGCTCCACGGAGCCCAGCTGTGCGTAAGGCCGCTTTTGGGGAACTGGACTGCTTGTGTTGGCCATCTTTCACACCTGCGACTTCAGCTACTTGTCGAATCTACTCGTGTTCGGGACAGAAATCCGCCTCAAGATGAACCAAGTGTCACATCATGTGTCAAGATGCAGAGCAGGTCGCCACACGCTACGATCGCCCCCGGCAGCCTTACCCTGGAAGCTGGACAAGTGGGAAAGACGCCGGGGACAAGCCAGACTTCTTCCAGCTTTCGCTGTCCCGTGGACACCGCCATCTGTAACACATCTCACAGTTGTTTGTGGCGGTTGTTGGGGAACTGGACTGCTTGTGTTGGCCGTCTTTCACACCTGCGACTTCAGCTACTTGTCGAATCTACTCGTGTTCGGGACAGAAAGCCGCCTCAAGATAAACCAAGTGTCAAAGCATGTGTCAAGCCGTCGAGACGCGCCTGGACATCTTCAACCGCATCACGGCTCAAGGCCGTGATCGTCACCAGTCAGTTGCAGGAAGCTGGACAAGTTGGAGCTTCTTCCATCTTTCGCAGTCGTGATTTTGGGACTTGGCGATGTCCCGTGGCCGCCATCTGTCACAGTAACACATCTCACAGTTGTTTGTGGCGGTTGTTGGCGAAGCGGACCTCTTGTGTTGGCCGATTCACTCTACGACAGAAGCCACTGGTCGAAGCAACTCGGTGCCTTCGCAGTCTTGGTCGTGCCTACGGAAAGCTGCCTCAAAATGGACCAAGTGTCACATCATGTGTCAAGATGCAGAGCAGGTCGCCACGCGCTACGATCGCCACCGGCAGCCTTACCCAGGAAGCTGGACAGGTGAGAAAGATGCCGGGGACATGCGTGACTCCTTCCATCTTTCGCAGTCGTGATTTTGGGACTTGGCGATGTCCCGTGGACGCCGCCATCTGTCACAGTAACACATCTCACAGTTGTTTGTGGCGGTTGTTGGCGAAGCGGACCTCTTGTGTTGGCCGATTCACTCTACGACAGAAGCCACTGGTCGAAGCAACTCGGTGCCTTCGCAGTCTTGGTCGTGCCTACGGAAAGCCGCCTCAAAATGGACCAAGTGTCACATCATGTGTCAAGATGCAGAGCAGGTCGCCACACGCTACGATCGCCACCGGCAGCCTTACCCTGGAAGCTGGACAAGTGGGAAAGACGCCGGGGACAAGCCAGACTTCTTCCAGCTTTCGCTGTCCCGTGGACACCGCCATCTGTAACACATCTCACAGTTGTTTGTGGCGGTTGTTGGGGAACTGGACTGCTTGTGTTGGCCGTCTTTCACACCTGCGACTTCAGCTACTTGTCGAATCTACTCGTGTTCGGGACAGAAAGCCGCCTCAAGATAAACCAAGTGTCAAAGCATGTGTCAAGCCGTCGAGACGCGCCTGGACATCTTCAACCGCATCACGGCTCAAGGCCGTGATCGTCACCAGTCAGTTGCAGGAAGCTGGACAAGTTGGAGCTTCTTCCATCTTTCGCAGTCGTGATTTTGGGACTTGGCGATGTCCCGTGGCCGCCATCTGTCACAGTAACACATCTCACAGTTGTTTGTGGCGGTTGTTGGCGAAGCGGACCTCTTGTGTTGGCCGATTCCCTCTACGACAGAAGCCACTGGTCGAAGCAACTCGGTGCCTTCGCAGTCTTGGTCGTGCCTACGGAAAGCTGCCTCAAAATGGACCAAGTGTCACATCATGTGTCAAGATGCAGAGCAGGTCGCCACGCGCTACGATCGCCACCGGCAGCCTTACCCAGGAAGCTGGACAGGTGAGAAAGATGCAGGGGACATGCGTGACTCCTTCCATCTTTCGCAGTCGTGATTTTGGGACTTGGCGATGTCCCGTGGACGCCGCCATCTGTCACAGTAACACATCTCACAGTTGTTTGTGGCGGTTGTTGGCGAAGCGGACCTCTTGTGTTGGCCGATTCCCTCTACGACAGAAGCCACTGGTCGAAGCAACTCGGTGCCTTCGCAGTCTTGGTCGTGCCTACGGAAAGCTGCCTCAAAATGGACCAAGTGTCACATCATGTGTCAAGATGCAGAGCAGGTCGCCACGCGCTACGATCGCCACCGGCAGCCTTACCCAGGAAGCTGGACAGGTGAGAAAGATGCCGGGGACATGCGTGACTCCTTCCGTCTTTCGCAGTCGTGATTTTGGGACTTGGCGATGTCCCGTGGCCGCCATCTGTCACAGTAACACATTTCACAGTTGTTTGTGGCGGTTGTTGGGGAACTGGACTGCTTGTGTGGACCGTCTTTCACACCGGCGACTTCAGCTACTTGTCGAATCTACTCGTGTTCGGGACAGAAAGCCGCCTCAAGATGAACCAAGTGTCACATCATGTGTCAAGATGCAGAGCAGGTCGCCACGCGCTACGATCGCCACCGGCAGCCTTACCCAGGAAGCTGGACAAGTGAGAAAGATACCGGGGACATGCGTGACTCCTTCCATCTTTCGCAGTCGTGATATTGGGACATGGCCATGTTCCGTGGACGCCGCCATCTGTATGGCCCAGAGCGGCGCCACCAAGGCTGAAGGAGAACGTTTTTGGCACGCTTTTTTTTACCACTTTCTTAGTTTCAATGCAACTCTGCAGGTACTGAAGCTTGAAGGGACATTGGATAAGTCACGTGACAGGCGGAGCAATGCAAGGGGATTTTGGACAAAAATGCAATTAAATAGACGCGCTCAGCATGCTAAACTGGCGAGGGGCCCTAGGTATGACGCATGCCAGCGTGCAGAACACAAGCAAACGGGATGATGTGGAGCTCTGCCCATTGAACCACCATGCCCAGCGCAGAGGAACCAACGGACCTACACTTAGGCAGAATGCGAGCAAGTTCTCAGTTCCGAAACTGGCAACCGCTCTCGGTGTGTGAAGCCTTGTCAACATGTCTCCGTCGTTTCTCTCAGGTTTCCGAATCTGAACGGAGTTGTTTCAGTTGTGTCGTCCCTTCAAGTGTGCAGCCTATTTGTTTAGCAGGGTGTTTGGCCACAAAGAAGACATTTGATGCAGAGGAATGCTAGCTAGCCACTCTGCACACCGTACCCAGGCCTTGATCTTGCATCGCGAGGCGGTGCTGGCACGCCCAAGGCCATTGGTTGAGAAACGTATGGATGGTAGCGGTTGTGAGCAGCTCGCTCAAACATCACTGCAGCACCGGAGGCAAGGCCCATCGGTGGACAGCAGCACGTGGTTTCCCCTCCAAACTCGAATGCGATCACAGACCATGAATGATGGACCGGCAGTCGTGCGGAAAGGATCACTTTCGCCATTGCAGTCCTCAGTCAGGCCTGGGAATTATGTCTGTTTTCTTGGCGGGGCCCTGTCTCTCACCATGCGCAAGACCATGAATTGGCCGCGGTTGGAACGGCTTTTCTCGCAAAGCATCGCGTGGCAGCTCCAGACAATGGACCATCTGTGGGCTGGCAGCATCTCTCGGCCAGGTCCGGTGCACCTTTACGTGTTGAGCCGGCTGTTGGGAAAGGTCTCCCCAACTCGAGTGATTCTCAGCGGCATGTCCTTGGGTAATGTGGCCGCAACGGCGTGTGTTCAGGTCACAGAGCTGGCAATCCGTCATTCTATCCGTGCGTTGGTGCTGTGGGACCACATCATCCTGCCAGGTTTCTCTTTGAAGCCTGTGAGATTGGTCAACTCTTCCGCCGGGACGACAGCAGTAGGTACGCCCGTCTCTCCGGAGTTCTCTGCACCACCATGCAGGCTGCAAGCACCAAGTTTTCTGGTTCGGTGTTCCTTCTACGAGCGCGAAACCGTCGATGCCGTCAATGACTATGTGTACGCGATACAGTCCTTTGGAGCTGTGACGTTTGAAGGTCTACGACAAGCATGCTTGCAAGACACTAGCCACTCAAGCATCCCGCCCTGAAGTTGGCACACTGTTCTTTCGGTCTGGTGTGGAGTTAGCTCAGCTTATATTCCTGAAATCGGCCCGTCTCAGCTTGGTCACAGCTTGCCTGAGTCATCGAAGGCAGTGTTTTGCTTCCCTCAGAACCTCCTTACCAGACCCAGCTAGGCACCTACCGCGATGACTTGTGGGACATCACTCGCGTGCTGAACTTCGCGGCCGGGTGACTCGCTTGCATAAAATTCTGGGTGAAGGCGAGACGAGGGAGAGGGAGTAGAGAGTCTTGAGACAGAAGAGGCAGCTGTCAAGCTCACAGTTGTTTGCTCCCTGTCATGCTTCGGACTGTGCAAGCTTGCGCTTTGAGGATCAATATAATTGAGCTGCTTTTTTTCGCGGGATTGTTCTGAATCCGGCATCTACCTTGTAGCCGTCTCGTCTTCCGCCTTGCACCAGCAGGTTGGGCTCCTGACATCTCCTGACGGAAGGCAACATCTTCATTCTTGCACGGCAGAGCAGGGTCCGGGTTGGGGCTACACATATTAGTGTTCTTGCGAATGGCGGGGGGTTCGAAAAAAAGCGATGATTGGAGTCAGGCTGCAGAAGAGGGGTCGGAACTAACATGTAGAGAATCGAAGCAAAACGCGCACAGCTGTCGTCGTATTTTAGGCTACATGTGCGGGGATTTTTCACGAACGACTGCTGGGAGCCACGCGCCAACGAGCCTCCCAAGGTGAGAGCGCCAAGCTTTCCCACGAGCCCTCACGAGCGAAGGCGACACTCTCAGGGTTCAGGATCTTGGGTTTAGCTCCGAACCATGAGCCCAACGCCCAGAAAGCAAGAGTGAGTAAGAGCAGCGGGCCGCAGCGACACTCGAGAAAGAGGAGATGGTGGTAGTAGTAGTAGTAGTAGTAGTAGTAGTAGTAGTAGTAGTAGTAGTAGTAGTAGTAGTAGTAGTACTAGTAGTAGTAGTAGTAGTAGTACTAGTAGTAGTAGTAGTAGTAGTAGTAGTAGTAGTAGTAGTAGTAGTAGTAGTAGTAGTAGTAGTAGTAGTAGTAGTAGTCGCAATCGCAGTCGCGGTCGCAGTCGCCATTGCAGTCGCAGTAGGAGTAGTACTAGGAGTAGCCATTAGTAGCAGTTAGTACTAGTCGTAGTCGTAGTCGTAGTCGGAGGCGTCGTCGTAGTCGTAGTCGTAGTCGTAGTGGTGGTGGCAGTGGTAGTGGCAGTGGTCAAAAACATGTGTTGGTAATCGTGTCCCAGATGGAGTACATGCCAGAAATCGTAGTGGCAATATCGCTAGAACACACGGGATGAAATCACAGTCGTAGGTGTTGTTGCAGTCACTGCAGCACCCGAATGATAGATAAACGCGGCGTAACGCACAGTGAAATCGATTGATGCTCATTGGCAAAATAACGGCAGAGAGATCCGCAGATATCTTTTGCATCAGCTGCATCAGCATGTCCCCCAAGTCGTTGAGACTTTCGGCCTCGAATTTGTACACAGTAGAAAGAGGGTCTATTGGCTTGCGGTGTGTTTCTGTTGCGTTGACTTCGCACGTGCGTCTGTCTGCGAGAGCTGCAGCAGCAGAATTGAGCGACTGCAAAGCCAAATGTACCTATCCTGACTTTGTCCAGGCAGCAACCGGGTGTTGGAAGTCTCAACACAGCCGAGCCTGGACAGCAGAGGCATGCAGCACTGAAGGTCTCTGAACTCTCTGAATTCGAATTATGCACGGAGCCCAGCTGTAGAAATCAGGTGAGACGCATGTTGCAAGACCCATGGCGACTGTGGGCGAAGCGGTGGTGGCACTGCCTCCTCAGATCATTCATCTGAGGGAATTCAAAGACGAAGCACGGGAATGCGGCAGGCTTACTGATCGGGCCCTTTCAATCGCCAAGCAGCAGTTACACCTTGGAAGTCTGTTAAATGTGCCCTTCTCCGAGCAGGCATCAAGCGGATCAGAGTTGATCCATGTGCTGTGAAGGTTCCGCAAGCTAGATAGCTCTGTGTCATGAATTTCAGAAAGCTGTAAGATCGTGCATGCTTAAGGCATCAGCAGGTCACAGCAGATTTGTTTGTGCAGTGCGGAAAAACAATTCGTCTCGAGAGCCATGGATTCCAACTGAATTGAGAAGATTAGCATGGCGCAAGCTTCCGAAGTAAGCCCAGGACCTTCGGGTAACCGTTCTGAAGAACAACAGGTTATGAATCGCCCAAGTAGAAGTGGAGCAGTGCTTGAAGGAGAACAAGCTGGACCGAACTATGGTGCTGTGAATGGTGTTTTGCCGTCAACAGAAGTGAGAAGATCTGGGGCCTCCTCAGCACTTCCCCTTGGAAGGCTCACTTCGGCCCGTCAGGGTCAGAGGAGAAATTCCTTGGAGCACCGGAACTGGGAGTGGTCACGTTGAGGCAACTACATCTACAGCAGTGGCGGTGGCGAACGATGGTGGAGCACCTGGGGCAGCGAGTCTGCCAACCGGATCGGCCGTGGAAGCGCGAATCTCCGGACCGGGCGCGACGACGAGTGTAGTGCGCGAGCAACAACAGCCACCACCACCGCCACCAGCACAGCAGCAGCCAGCAGTCCTACCGCAGTCGCTTCAGCATGAAGCTACGCAGCCTCCTCGAGTACCACTTCGTGAGCCTTGTATCAGCAGCGCCGAGAAAGTGATCCTGGCAGTCGGAACGAGGTCTTCAATTCCGCGGAGAGCCTCGCTGCCGGACGAGAGAAACAATGGGTTCTGGTCGGTCACCAGAATCAGCGAAGTGTTACATCGCAGATTGGTGGCACCACTGCTGGAACATGTTCAAGGACCAGAGCGAGGTCCGCAAGCCTCACCTACTTGGCGCTCCCCTACTTCAGCACAGGCGACCGAACCACCTTTGATGTCTCCGGAAACCCGGAGGGCCATGGCTGAGTGGACAGCTCAGCAGACTTCCTTAACTACTTCTGTGCCGGAACCTCCGCCTATGAGGGACGACAGCTCGGCCGGAAGTATGAGCCGGGAACTTGTGATGGAGGATGTGAGGAGGCAGGTCCAGATTGCCATGCGGACCCGAGACGCGGAACTACAGGCACTCAACGAACAGAACACTGAGCTGCAGGGCGCGTTGAGCGCCTCAGCCCAGCTCCTGAATGATGTGTTTCAAGCAGGTGGAGGGAGACCTGAACCCGGACTTCGCGAGCCTATGGGTGGACCTCAAGGCCTTGAAGCTGGAGGCGTTCCGCCGGGAGAAATTGAAGGTTCAAGTCTTGTCCCGAGAGCTCCACCCGGTCTACCCGGACCTGCACCCCTACCTGGCAGCAATCCACAAGATCGGGGACGTGGTGAAGCACAACCCATGGGCGGTCTTGGTGGGATGCCAGGTCGAGCGGACTAGTTGAGGGATAGCTCTGGAGCCAAGGAAATGACGGCGGAGACCATGGGGTCTCTTGATGGGTCCCGCTCTCGTTGGGGCGACGTTCCGAAGGAGAAGGATGGCCTTTCTCCACTGGATGTGTTGGTGCGGGGAATGAAGCAGTTGCAGGATGTCTACCTGGAAAAGAAGACGCCGGAGTTTGAGGCTCTGAAGAACAATGTGGAGTTACCACAGCTCCCGGACCCGATTGGGGAAATGGGGGTAGAATTCAGTGATTGGCTGTATGTGGCAGAGCAGATCATCGGATCGTTGTCGGATTCGTCGACAAGGTGGTTTGCAGATACTTTGAAGTGTGCGAAGGAAGCCTATGCCAAGCACCAGCTCGCGACTCCAATGGAGAGGTTGTCTATATCACCTACCATCCCTCCAGAGCTGGCAGAGGCAAGATGGAGTCGGTTGGAGAGAAAGGTGATGACGATGCTCCTCACTGCGATGCCACAGGCGATCAAGGAGGACCCCGTAACGCATCGGGTCGGCACTGTTGCAGGCATCCTCTACAGGCTCCACGTGTTGTACGCTCCTGGAGGATCCGCTGAGAGATCAGCGATTCTGAAACAGTTGGAAGGAACCGCCGGGGGAGAGAACATCACCGAGGTGCTTGCCCAGCTTCGAAGATGGCGAAGGACCCTCTCTAGAGCCCTGGAAATGCAGGTTTCTCCTCCAGATGCATGCGTGTTGTTGAAAGGAGTGGAGCTGATCACAGGAGCAGCGGTGCGCAAACAATGCGACGTCCAGTTCAGACTTGCTCTTGCAAGAAATGAGTTGCAGCTGCAGAACAGACCCACTCAGGAGACTGTCTTGAAGTACTTTGATCACGTCCTATCAGAGTTGCAACAATCAGCGCCCTCCCGGCAGAGTACCCGAACTGGCCACTCCACTGAGGAGCACCCGCGCTTGAGAGCTGTAGATGGTCAGGCGGGCACCGGTGGCACCGCGGCAAGGACGCCGCCCAGCTCGCCAGAAAAGGGTGGGGCAAAGAACCGGCACCGTGCAAGTTCTTCATGTGAGACCAGGGTTGCAGAAAGCGTGGCCTCTGTAAGTTCGCCCATGAGTTTGCCAGCAAGGAGGACAAACGCCAGAGATGTTGGTACTGTGGATCCAAACAGCATCGTCAGAGCGAGTGTGCAGTTAAGGACCCCAGTAAGCAGAAGAATGCACCCACGAGCCCGACGATTGGCCCTCCTGCTTTGAGTCCTCAGGCAAGGTGTCAACTCCGATGGTGGCGTCGGCTACCCCAGAGCCTAAGGCGATGATGGTGCCGGGAACCACAGTTCGGCAAGCACCACCCTGAGCTCTTCGGCTACTTCTACCGGCGACACCGTTGTCCAGGCCGAGCCTATCCAGGCGTTTTCTCCCGAGGCCCTTCAAAATCCAGAGCTTCAGACTTTCATGAAGGAGGTGAATGTTATGCTTCAGAGAATGGCCAGGCTTAGCGCCCTTCAGGTTGCGGATGTTGAGGCGGTGGAGTCTTTGCATGATGAGGTGGCTCTGAAGTCCGTTGAGATGGAATCTTCATGGGCCCTGCTAGACTCAGGTGCTACGCATCCTTTCAGGCCTGCCCAAGGGGGCGAGGATACCAAGGCTCCACCAGTATCGGTCAAGCTTGCTGACGGCAAGACTGTGATGTTGCACCAGAACAGGGCGGGCACTCTCATGCCATGCGGGAACAGCAGCAACAACCAGAGTTCCTCGAATTCCTCCTTTACTACCATTGTACCCCTCGGGTCGTTGGTGAAGGAATTGGGATGTACGGTGTCGTGGACAAAGCGAGGCTTACAAGTTGAGCACCCGGAGCATGGCACGATTTCCACCCACGTTGTGGGGTCTTGCCCTTACATTGGCGAGTCGCAGGCTCTCGAGCTTATTCGGGAATTGGAAAATCGCAAGCTGGAGCAACTGAAGGTGAACACCATCGAGACTCAGCTGAGGATGAATGGCCTGGAAGCACAGTTGAGCTTTGGGGCTCAGTTGCAGGAATACCGGCGCACGGGGAACCGCGCTGATGGTCTCAAGGCTTTGATGTGTGAGGACTCGGCGTTTGGTGTGCTTACAGAACAGCAACGATGCACCTTGATCCAGGACATTGATTTGAGTGACAAGGCAGGCCACCAGTACCTGAAGGCGTTGCCCATCAAGAGAGCTATGAGAAGGAGGTTGATGACGACCCGGTGGTTTGTGCACATGTACTCAGGCGACCCTTCTGAACATTGACCTGAGTATCAGCAAGGCCTTCAATCTACGGGAGCCGAGTCCAGCCTATCGAGCTCTTTTGTGGGCGGCAACGAGAGGTCAAGTTCATGGTGTGCTTGGAGGACCTCCTAGAAATGAGGGTGTCGGTGATTTGGTTCTGAAGCAGATGTTCCTCTGGGCGGTGGCACGGTCAGCGGCGGAAAACTACGAGATCGCGACCCCGGGCTTTGCAATGACCATGCCTACTGCTAGCGAGCTTTGGAAGTCGGAGCTTTTGGAAGGAGTTTCGTTCGGAGACTGAAGTGAAGGTAGCAGCCTGGAGCCCGAGTGTTACTGTGGCTACGTCTCTTGACTTGAAGATGCCGGTGAATGATTATGAAGTTCAGTCTTCAACGGGAGCTTTGGAGTGGACGAAGGAGTTCAAGGAGATCTTGATTCAGGGTTTCCAAAAATGGCGGACGGTCATTGCTCTTCGGCGACTTGATGGTCCTTTGAGTGGCATGAGTAAGGAAGACCTCCACAGGTGGATTCAACATGTTCGAGCTGGCCATGTACCTTACAACACACGTTGCCAAACGTGTGCGGCCACCAAGGCCACCGGTCATGCGCGCCGTAAGGTTGAGTACCCTTCGTGCTACACAATGTCGGTGGATGTTTGTGGACCTTTTCGGCACAAAGGACATACCCCTTGGACAATAAGTATATGCTGGTGGCCTCCTATGTTATGCCAGTTTGAAGATGACATCATCAATGTGCCGGGGGCTGGTGTTGGTGACATACCACTAGGTGACCCAGCTTCAGTCGATCCACCAGACGACCTACGACAAGGTGACCCAGCTTCAATCGATCCACCAGACGACCTACCACAAGGTGACCCAGCTTCAATCGATCTATCAGACGACCTACCACAAGGTGACCCAGCTTCAGTCGATCCACCAGACGACCTACCTCGTGGTGAAGATCCTTTACGACAGCAGTCAGAGGGTACCCATGGTCTAGAAGATTTGTTCGTTGAGGAGGAAGGTGTTCCAGATGGTCCGTTAGCTGGAAGTGATCGTGAAGAGCTAGATCGTCTGAATAGTGAATACAATGAGTTGGTTCGGGAGGTTGGGGACAAGATCAACTATCAGGTGCTGAGATTTGCAGTCCCTATGAGGTCAAGACGTGCTGTGGAGGTGAATTCTCGAGTACGACAGTTGTACCTTCAGATCAGAGCCGAAGGCCTACCAGTGGTCAGGTGCCACTCCGACCGTGCGAGGGAGTTGTGCAACGGAAAGCTTAGCGCATGGTTGTTGGAGCGAGGTGTGCTACCGACAACAGGAGAGACTCAATCCCCTCAGCAAAACGGCCGCGCTGAGATGACAGTCAAGTTTGTGTCAAAAATGAAGCGAGGGCTTTGCTCACAGCCGCCAAGCTCCCAAATCAGATTGGCCGCTAGCTATGAGGTATGCGGTGCATCGTCAGCGACTACAAGCTCTTGGCAAGGCTGAAGATTTACGAGTGTTTGGTTGTCCAGTACATGTTCGGACCAAGGTGTATGGGAGAGCCGGAAAGTACGACATCGACAACAAGTGGCGTCAGGCTGTGTGTGTAGGTCAGTGTAGGTCGTCAGAGGATGTGGCCCACGGACATGTTGTGAAGTTTGCAGACGGCACTTTTGTGACGAGCCTGCATCTCAAGGCGAACCTAGTGGACCCTGATGAGATGGTAGATCTTGAGGTGGAGTTACCGCTACCAGAACGACGGTTGAAAAGAAAGACGAGATTGGCTGCAATCATGGCGGACCACCCTTTGACCGTTGTGGAGGAGCGGGTTGAAAGGTTGTCCAAGGACCTCCATCACAGGGGAAGTTGGGAAAACCAATGAATCCAGAAGTTAAATAAAATTAAATCTTGATTTAATTGTTCGGTTTTGACAGACCTTGGACCTTCCAAAGTTAATGTTTTTTAACTCTTGGATTCACTGCCTTCCATCACTTGGTCTCCAGAGTCCATCCTTCAGGTGTTCGAGGCTTTGAAGAATGTCAGGGTGAAGTCTAAGAAAGGAAGAGCTGGTTGTGGCGAAGGTTTATCATGGACCACCGGGATGTTCGTGCATGGAGGCGTCGCTGGACTTCGAGGCAACACCACAAGGATGAGATGGACTACGCGCTACCTAGTCGAGGCAGCCAAGCGGTTCAAGGAGGGTCGCGACTTCTCTGCTGTGGGCACCCTGGAGAATGTGGACATGCGTTGCCACAAGGACTCCCACAACGATGTGGCCACCGAAAACGTTGTGGTGTTGATTCGCAAGCCCGACTCTGGTGGTGAGTTGTGGGTAGAGAATGAAGATCTTGATGCCAGGGAAGCTGAGTGGAAGCAGGTGACCAAGAAGGTAGCCAAAAAGGGAAGGTTGCATGAACTTGAAGTTGGGGATCCTTTTGAGTCCAATCCTCGCAAATGGCACGCGGTTGAGCCTTGGCAAGGAACCCGGACAGTCCTCATCCTTCACAGCCCCAGAGCTACTCACCTCCACTGCAAGGATCGTGACACCTTGGAGTTTGCGGGTTTCCCAATTGGCAAGGCCCAGTGGAGTGGTGAAGAAGCAGCTTTCAATGAGCCGGCGACCACAGGCCTAAGCCCTCAACAGGTGGAACTTCATCTACTACAACCTTTGCCTACGGACGGGCAGGACACCTTCGAGGACTCTATGTTGACCTTGACGGAAGATCAAGAGCAGCTGATTGAGGACTTGGAAGAAAGATCGGCTAGGTTGCGACTACTTCTGGAAGAGGAAGAGGCCCTAGCTGAAGAGTGTCGTCGTGCAGGCCAGCAGACTGTGGATGAGGTGGAGAATGTTCGGGCAATTATTGAGGAAATGATCAGTGATCTAGCGGTCTTTCGGAGAAAGCTACATGATGATCAAAAACAAAGATGCTTGAGAGCAGCTGCGGTTGCGCAGGAAGTTGTGGACTACGAAAGATTGCTGGGTGAGCTGAAGGGTGACCTCGAGGTTGTTCATACCGTCCCTCTTGATCAGGTTCGTGCTGCACTACCCAAGTGGCATCAAGCAATGGCCAAGGAGGTCAATCAGCTGTTGGATGGAACTTTGAGACCTATGACATTGGCGATGGCACGTGATCTCGAAAGGTAGGGCAAGCACAAGTTGGTTCCGTCGAAAGCTGTTTGCACATTGAAACCTCCGACCAACAAGGGTGGAAAGGCAAGGCGGCGCTTCCGCCTAGTGCTTTGCTGAAACTTCGTGTCGAGAGATGATCCTTCATACAATCTGTACGCTGGTGGTGTCTCTGCGGAGACGGTCAGGTTGGCTCTCACTATTGCTGGAGCTCGGAGCTGGACAGGCGCCACATCCGACATTGTGGCGGCCTTCCATCTGGCCAGTTGACCAGAGGAGTTGGCTCGATATGCCATTTACCCGCCGAGAATGCTCATTGAAGCCGGCTTCATCTCTGCAAATCAAGTCTGGGAAGCGCTATACGGCTTGAGGGAATCACCGGCTATTTGGAGCAAGTGCAGATCGACGAGATTGGCTTCGGCAAGGATTCCATGGAAGGGGAAGATTGTTGTCCTCAAACCTAGTGATGCTGATCCTGATCTTGGCTGGCCTACGACGAGGAGGACAAGGTGCGAGCTCAGGGCAGTCTACTTGCTTTGGTGATTACATATGTTGATGACCTGCTCTACTTGGCCGAGAAGTCCCTTGTCGAGGCCATTCACGAATGGATTCAAAAGGATTGGCCTTGCAGTCCGCTTGAGTGGGCACAGGAACCTGGAGGTACTCGGTATCTCGGGATGGAACTCCGTCAAAGGGAGGACTATGTCTTTGAGATCTCCCACGAAGGCTACATTCGAGAGTTGCTACGGAACCACTCTATGGACGATACTGTAGGCACTCGACTGCCGTGCCCCAAGGAATGGTTGCATGATGGAGAACCTCACGCTGAACCTGAAAACTATTCCATGGAGGAGTTGAAATTTCGTGGGGGAGCAGCTCTGGCTGACTATGCGTTCTCGGCCGGATCTCCAGTTTCCTGTGGCTTTTATGGCATCGAGAGTTACACATCAACCGAACCGGGTCGCCCAAATCGGGCGGAGGATCCTCGCCTACCTCAAGACAACTCAAGCTCTAAAGCTGGTCATGGGATCGGATGGAGTTGGAAAGGAAGGACCTATGGAACTGGTTGGGTTTTCAGACGCCAGTTTCTCTCCACACGGAGAAAAGTCCTACGGCGCCAGCGTAGTGACGGTGCGAGACGCACCGGTCGCTTGGAAAGCGTCCAAGCAATCATTCGTCACCCTCTCGGTAATGGAAGCAGAGCTCTATGAGACAGCCAATGCCGTGGTGCTCTTGGAAAGCGTTGGAAGCCTCTTAGATGAAATCCTGGGTTACCAAGCGATCAGACGATTGAAAGTTGACAATTCGTCAGCCTTGTCAATGGTTCAGGGAGGACCGGGAAGTTGGAGGACCCGTCATCTTAAGGTTCGGAGCGCAAAGATACGCAGCTTGGTGGAGACGGGCGAATTGCTGGTGGAGCACACCACTGGTGATCTGCAGCTGGCAGATCTGGCTACAAAGATGCAAACAAAGATGAGATTATGGGAGCTGCTTACGTTGTGGGGTTTCAAGGATCTACCTCAAGAAGCAGTCCAGGGTTTGAACACGAAGAGTGCATACATGGCGATGCTTGTTCTGGCTTTGATGATCTCACCAGCCCGAGCAGATGATGGCACTACCCCGGCAAGGACAGGATTGCAAGCGGTGGGTGTAGACGAGTTGATGCTGGTTACGCTGCTAGTGTGCATTGCTGCGGTCGCTATTTGGGAAGCGATGAAAGGGGCAACCAAGTTTGCTACCGGTTGGCTCCGAGAATCCCCGAAGCAGAAGCGACTTCGTAAGCTACGAGATGCCGCTAAAGCAGCGGCTGAGGAGGAGGTTGATCGAGCCTTCATCAACCGACAGGTTCTAGCGGAAGAGCCTTGTGGAAGTTCGGAGATTCCATCACCCCCGCCACCACCACCAGATCCGCATCCTGTAGTCCGGGCTAAGACCACCAAGAAGATCATTGACACACCCGCTGCCCAACCGTTTGAGAACGAGTTGAGCGAGGCTACTATAAGACGAACTCTTCGAGGTCTAAGTTGCCCTCACTGCCACGGCCCGAGGAATTCTGGAGATGTGTACGCGGTAGAGTACTGCGCATATTGCCAGCGTAACACGCCACTGTACACTCGTCGGAGTCGATCCCTACAGCCCTCGAGAAGTTACTAGGGGCGCAAGTGGAACCTCTTGGGGTACGTGGCGAGCCAATGTCTGCATGAAGAAGCTGTGGAGCAGCTTCGCACTACGAAGCAACCTTGTTACTTTTGATGATGTTGTGATCGAGGTGCGCGGCACAACGATCAAGGAATCAAGGAGGAGTGTTAAATGTGCCCTTATCCGAGCAGGCATCAAGCGGATCAGAGTTGATCCATGTGCTGCGAAGGTTCCGCAAGCTAGATAGCTCTGTGTCATGAATTTCAGAAAGCTGTAAGATCGTGCATGCTTAAGGCATCAGCAGGTCACAGCAGATTTGTTTGTGCAGTGCGGAAAAACAATTCGTCTGGAGAGCCATGGGTTCCAACTGAATTGAGAAGACTTGTAGAAAAATCTGTGCTTGCACTGATCAACTCGCATGTCATAGGGCCAAGCCAACGGCCTTTCTTCAGCATCCTGCTCGGGCCGGCTGCCATTTTGGGTCAGACTCACGACGGGTCTCTGTGACGCGGGGTTGTTGTTCCCGTGGTGACTTTTTCTTGGTTGATTGTTTTCTGTTTCTGGTCATGTCGACTCCTCCGCGTGTCTCGCACGATGATTTGCCCGTGCAGATCAGACAGAACCTTGCATTGCAGAGAATGCAGCAGAACCTCTTTGAGCTTGACGAATTTTCTTCCCCTGTGGCACCGCAGGAGGGTGCTGCGGCATCAGTTGCCCCTATCCCGACCAGGGCAGCACCTGCTGGTTCTGCCGATGACGTGGTCATTGAAGATGTGACGGCTCTGCTCGCCCAGGTCACCCAGCAATCCGAAGACGAGGTGAAGAGAGCAGGTGTTATCGAAACACTGCGAGCCTGCAACACGGTGGGTCTCCTCAAGGGACAGCCCATCCTTCAGCGTTTGTTTCTGGACATGTACGACGAGACCAAGCGCAATCGGCTGATGACTTCCAGCCGCGACTCCTCTACTGTGGGTAAGCCTCCTGTGGTAGCGGACGCGGTTGCCTCAGGTGCCGATCGTCCCTCCCAGGAGGTGTCACCTGAGGAAGTTGATGTCGAGATGGTGGAGTCGATGGATCTGGCTGCTGGCGGCGACTTTGCCATGGCGGACGTGCCCCCTGGGGAAGGGAGCGCGGTTGCTTCAGGTGCCGATCCTCCCTCCCAGGGGGTGCCATCGGATCTTGGGTCGTGGCCGACAAGGCGCCGTCTATCACGGTGCCGAGCACCTCCGGCGACTACGCATGGGTGGAGCATGAGGATGTCGAGCAGTTGCAGGCCTGGATCCAGGAGCAGCTGGATGAGGCCAAGGACCCCCAGGCGGTCTTGCCGCTTATGGAACTGCCTTGGGTCTCGGTCATCGACCTGTTCAGCAAGTCCCACCCCTGGTGGGAGGCTGTGTGCAGGTGGTACTGCACCGTCCCGGAGGAGGTTGGGATGATCAAGGGCCAAAAGATCACCAGCACGGTCTTGGCCCGGTGGAATTGCTTGAGAAGGGAGGACCACGTAAAGCTCCTCTCCCACGTGGATGCGACATCGAAGGAGTTCCATCAGGACGCGAGTCTCCTGGTGAGCGGGCTTATGCACATGAAGCACAAGCTCGCCTTCAAGAACGTGGGCACGGTCATCCTTTCCTTGCCGGACTTAAGGAGGAGCTCCTGGGTACAGACAGGGCGGTGGTCCAGTGCGTGGATGCCAAGAAGGCGGTTTACAGGTTGGTGTCCCCGGACGTGCTGCCCGAACGTCTCTTCCGCAGCGAGGTTGCCACCATCCTCCGGTCCCTCCCGAAATTGGTGGTGGAGAAGATGGTGGCTGGAGCGGAGTCCGAGAACGCAGGGCTCCTTGAGGACGCGATCCTTAACGTTGGGGGCCACCTTCGCAGTAGAATGGCGACGCTCCGCCAACAAGAGATCCTCAAGAAGCAGGGCCAGGGTTTCGGCACGGCCACTGTGCCTAGGCCCTCGGTGGCGCCCCTTCCTTACATCTGCTCTGACCCTTCTTGTGGGGGTAGGTTTGCCTCTGCGCTCAGGGTTCGGTGTTTTCTTTGCAGCAAGACGGTGCTTCCGGTCAGGGAGGCCAATGCTTCAATCGAGGCCCCGGCCCCAGATGGATCCTCCTGGCGTTTGGTGGAGGGTGCTTGGAAGAACACCTCGGATTCTTTCCGGGAGGACTTCAAGTATAAGTTTGGCCGGCCCCAGACGGAATATGAAACGCCGGCGCGATGGGGAAGGACTCCTCACCCGGTCCGGTTGCCTCAGGTGCCGTTGGCCGGGTGGGGGGACGTACTCCTCGGAGGATCTGGCGCAGCAGATGTCAGACCAGGCTGCCCAAGGACTCCTTTTCGCTTCGGACTTAGACTGCCCAAGGTTTGACTCTCAGGATGGCCCGGAACAGAAACCACATGAATGCGGTGTGGTCTTTAGCCCGGACATGGCCAACGCCCGCATCACCCTGGAGGACGCGGCCCACCAGTCCGAGGGTGCTGCCACCTTTGCCGAGGCGGTGGACCTGGAGAACAAGACCCACAGAGGGAAGGTCCTCAAGGCGGCTGCGGGGGTTGCCTTTGCAGTGCTCCAATGCCACTCGAAGCTGGTCGCCTGGGCCTCTGCCAACGAAGTGGCCTTCGTCGCCTTCAAGGCCCAAGGAGCGGACATCCTCACCTGTTGCGAGAGGGACGCCCCCGCTCATCCTGGTGGTGCAGAAGGGGGAGATGGCCCATGTCTTGAAGGAGTATGCTGACGTGCCCACGGTCAGGACAGTCCTGACCAAGCTTGGTGTTGCAATATGCAACCTCCGGACCCCGAACCAGAATGGCGCCACGCTCCTTGACCTGGTCCCGGGGGCTGATGTCGCTATAAGAACATCTTCGACCATCTGGACTGCTCTTCCCCCCTAGGTCTCCAAGGCGCACGCTGCGGGGAATCTCCAAGACTTTGGGCAACAGGGCTGGGAGCACTTCGACAGCCCCTCTGGACCCGCCTTGGTTGACTCCGGGGCCGCGTCTTGTCCCTCTCCGACGTGACTGAGGTGGAGGCGAAGGCGGGGGGCATCTTTGTGATCTCCTACCTGGACGGCTCTTCTGTGGAGGCCAGCTTTGGACCTGGCGTGGAACCGCGCCAGAAGGCAGAGGGGGACACCCGGTTGGATCAGGTGCAGATGGGTGGACCCCGAAGCCAGAGCGGGCGCCCACGGACCGGGACATCGCCATGGAGAACCTCAAGGCCTTGGAGCAGGCGGCCATGGAGGAAGGGAAGGTGGAAGAGGTGGCAAAGAAGGCACTCCTCCCGGGCGGTCGCAAACATGGCCCAGATCTCCTCCGCCACGTTGGCTGCCAACCAGGGTCAGGGCCTTCTTGCTGCGATGCGTAGGACCCTGGCGCCTCAGGAGATGACCTTTGACAAGGAGGAGAAGGCCAAGCGGGAGGAGAACAAGAAGCGCAACGCGGAACAGCTCCAGGAGCACTTTGTCTACACCCCGGTGGTCCAGCCGCCCAACCTGTGGAGCAAGGAGCTGGTGGAACTGGTGGAGCGCCATGCAGAAGGAGTCACGGGTGAACTCTCGAGTTTCCAAGAGAGGGATCTAAACGTGCTCGGCCGGATCCAGTACGAAGTGGTGGCGGTCCACAAACTTATCCAGTCGATCCTGAACACCCCGGAGGACATCGAAGGTGGGGACCTCAAGCACCAGGCCGATGTTCAGCGTGTGGCCGCCTTCTTCAATCCGGCACTTTTCGACAAGCCGTTCCCGGAGTTGCAAGGGACGAAGGCTCCGGAGACTCTGGAGGACAAGGTCCGGACCTTGGATGCCATGCTCCAGATGCGCAAGAAGCAGTCGTACCTCACGGGCTGGCGTTGGGTCGAAGCCAGGGGCCGAAGGGGAGGTAGACAGTGGGCCCCACCACTGGCGGCTCAACCTCCAGACGGTGACCCTCAGGGAGCTTTTGAACTGCTATGGCAGCGTGCTCTCTGCCAAGGACATCTGGAACATGGTGGGCCCAACGAAAAACCTGGGCCAGAAGAAGTTTCAGAAGGGGTTTCCCCTGGTGCACTCCAACCTCCGAAAACGGGGAGAGTACCGGGCGGCCCGCCGCCAGGCTTTCCTCGACCTGCGTATGAAGGCGAAGTCGTGGATGGAGGCAAGAGGGTTCGGAGAACCTAAGTGCCCGGAGGACTACGCGATCATCCTCCGCCGGATGAGCTTCGAGGTCCACTGGACTCCAAGGACAGGCTTCGGCTGCGAGCTGAGTATGACCACAGAGTCACGCTGCCCATCGAGTCCCTCCCAATCGACCTCAAGTCGTTTTTCTCCGGCAAGCACAAGTGGGCAGTGGCCTTCCAGTACTACCGCTGCACTGGAGGAGCTTGGTTGAAGGCCCCGAACTTTGTGGACAAGCCCAACCAGAGGCACTGGATCCACATGGAATGTGGCATGGCCCTGACAGGTTTCGACTACACCAGGGTCGGCTCGAGCAAGCGTACCAAGAACCGTTATGCCTGCACACTTTGCAGGACGGAATGGGGCAGGGACTCGGTGGATGGCAAGTGGCTCAAGGGCGAGGTGGTCTTGCAGGCCATCGTCACGTCCCCGCCGCAGGCAGAGCGTGAGAGGTGGATCCAGGGGCGCATGCTCTTTTGCCGGAAGTTCAAAGGCACGGGCCCGCTGCTGGATGCGGCCCCACACAAGATGCCGGGAAAGAACCCCTACCGCATCCGCTTAAGCCCGAAGGCCTCCACACAGCTTTGGCGTCTGGTCTTCTCGGAGCCTTCTTTCCAGTCCTGGACGTCCTGGCTGACGCGGTCAAGGGAGAACTGGAGTCGGATGCGGAGATGAGGGTTGCTGCCCCCTAGCCTGGGTGCCGGGGAAGGCGGCGTAATCGATGCTGGCGGCCTCTTGTGGGGCCTTGGGGCCGTTTTACGGGGTACCACATCCCTTTTTGCAACAGGTTGGGGCACTGCCTCCCCAGGACAGCCTCGATGTTTGGGGGATGGGGGGGGGTACGGTTGCCTCAGGTGCCGATTCCCTTTCCTGAACCTGAACATCGAGGGCGACAGAAAGGGAAGGCGCCTCAGATGCTTGTTTTGGATACTTCCGGCCTTGGGCTGCTCAAATGAAAAGGGACGTGAGGGGTTTCTTCGGGGGGGGGGTGTCTTCCGGTGGTTTCTTCAGGTTGGGGTTCTTTTTCGCCTCTGGGTCTTTCGGGTCCTTTCGGTTTCCTTGCTTGGGGCGGGGTGGGTGCCTTGCTGATTGTGCATCCACGTGTCTGCCAGTGCTGAGATGTGCTCTTGCCCCTTCGACTGGCCGGGCCCCACAGCTGTTTTGCCCGGTTGCTTCTCTTTGTTTTCCCTTCTTCGTGCCAGTGGGCCGTAGGGCCTCACCTATGGATGCTGACCAGGTCGTGGACACGCGGGACCCTGAGTTGGTCATCCTCACGGAGGCTATTTGGGAACGATTCCAGCCAAGGCCAGGGACCTCCTGCTGGAAGGTTCTGGCAGACCGGTGCCAGACCAAGTGGATTGGTCCTTCCTCCTCACGCTCTCCTTTGAGACTCACCAGAACAACGCTGGCCTAGGGCTGGGTACACGGTCCAGCGCTGGCGACGAGGTGGCATACGGCAAGGTGACACCTCCCTTCTTCTCTGTGATCCCTGCGCATGGTGTGGAGAGATGGCCACGAGTTGGTGTGACCGGTGCGAGAACCAGGGCTCCTTCACGGCACTTTGCATGGGATGTGACCGGGAATGGGATGGCTGCCGCTCACACCGCCAAGGACGCCAGCGAAGAGATCGACCTCGTCGACCCGACCCCGGTGCCCCTCCTCCTCCTGAGAACATGGAGGTCTTCGCCCTGGACTTGGAGAATGACGGCCGGGGCCCGGGGCACACTGAGAGATGCAACTGTGTGCGATGCAGCTCTACAAGGAGGGCTGCTCGGAGGCAATCCCAGGATGGGCCAGAACCAGACCCGGAGGCCTAGGCAGTTTCCATCCGGGGCACTTTGGTGGCTTTGCCTGGTGTCTTCCCTGGGCGCTTTGCTCCTGGTTACTCCCGGGCGCTCAAACAGACCCTCCCGCGGGTTGGAGGTCACGCTGAAGGACATGGGCCTGGGCCCACACCCGGTGGAGTGTGATGTGGCTGCCAAGGCCCTCCTGGACCCTGACGTGGTGGCCGGCGTCAAGGCAACCTGGCTTCAGACGCTCCTGGAGGATAGGAGTCAAAAGCTTGTGGAGAACTTTCCGGACGCTGTCACAAGGCTCCAGCTGGCGGCGGCGGGCTGCCCTTCCTGGACATCTCTCTCTCCTGTGGGTCAGCTCCTGGCAGACAAGGCTTTTGGGAGGGCCCTCCCAATGGAACGCCTCAGCGGGAAAAGGTCGTGGGAGCACTGGGCACCCAGACCCTCGTTGATGGAAGGTCCGGTCAAACAGTTGGCTTTGGACAGGGCAGCAAAGAAGAAGTGGGCGGACAAGATCATCTCGGTCCTCGCCCCCTACCACAGACACCTGGACAACATGCAGGACATCAAGCCGGGGGAGGATAAGTACGAGGTCTGGCGGCCATTGGTTGGCAAAGCCAGAGTCAATTCCTTGAAGTCGGTCTTCTACAGCCTCAAGAAACTCCGCTCTACATTGGGCTGCTCCCCCTTACCATTCTCAGAGGAGATGGCGAAGCACCTCCTCAAGCAGTTCACCATCTACAGGCTGGGGCAGTTGTGGCGGACGCTGCACTGGATCCCCCAGCACTTTGGGGGTTGACCCCACGACCAACCAGGCGATCAACAGACGTTACGAATACACCAGGGGCCTCCTGGTCTCGTCGGAGGCCAAGAAGGAGAGGAGGGCCACGCCACCTTCCATGGAGGTGGTCACGGCACTGGAGAAGTTGGCCGGGACCCTTCCGGAGGGCTCCCCTGATGGCTACGCGGCCTCATTCTTCAGGTTTTGCATCGGGGCCTCGGCTAGGTTCTCCGATACAGTCCATACCAGGCCTGACACCATGAAGCTCACTAAGGACACTCTCGAATTCACCGCCTGGCAGACTAAGGTGAAGGAGGTAGGGGACAACGATCGCCCCCAGCCGCTCATCGCACCGCTGGTCTCCTTCTCTCGGGTTGAGTGGTGGGGACCCATGATCGCCTTCAGTAAGAGGCGGAACCGCCTGGCCACCAAGGGCTTGGAGGACGATTACCTCCTTCCGGTCCCAGACCGCGACCGCCTGGACTTCACGAGGGCCCCTTGTGATAATTCTCGGGCCCTGCGGTGGCTCAGGGCCCTTCTTTCTATGAAGGGGGCCGTGATTGCGGAGGAGGAGGTCAAGATGATGACTCTTTCCTCGTTCAGGGTCTTCATGCCGAACCTGGCCTTTCAGATGGGAGTCCCCCGGGAGCAGCGACGCTACTTGGGACGTTGGCAGGGGGACAGCATGGCGGATGTCTACACGAGGGAACACCGCTCGGTGGTCTTATCCATATGGAAGGAAGTCCTGTCCAAGCCCCAGCCGAACGCCGAGGATGGGGTCCAGTTTGTGCCGGAAGACCTGGATGCCCCCTACTACAAGTTGTCTGAAGAGCCACTGATGGAGGCCGTCGCTGCGCAGCTACCCCTGCTCACGTCTGCCAAGGATCCTCCGGAGGAGAAGCGGGCGGATGGTCCCGCCTTTATGGCAACCAACTCCCGGAAGACCGGGTCTCCTCCGGTGTATCGGGTACACTGGTTTGACCGGGGCTACCGCTGCCTGGGATGTGGTTGGAGGCCCAAGGACTCCAAGAGTTTGGTCACTTTCTACGAGTTGGACTGGACACCAGACCACGTCTTCTGTGCAAAGGCGGCGAGGGCCAAGCGGCCCCCGGACTGCTTCTTGCTGGATGATGTGACCAAGGACTCCTCCAGCAGGGACCGCTCGGGTTCGGCGAATTCCTTGGAATCGGACTCTTGCTCTTCCCCCGGCGAGGAGGCTCCTCCCCGCATGGGCGCGAGCTCGGCAGGCTCCTCCTCCACGGGATCTCCATCCACGGTGCCTTTCGTGGTAGTGCCGACCCCGTGATCAGTAGCTGGCCCCTGGCCTGGGTGGCCGGGAGTCCTGGTGACCCTCCCCTCTCTCCCCCAGGGGCGGTTGCCACAGGTGCCGATCCCCTGGCCGGGTTGAGGGGGGGATAACTTGTTACCGGAACGCCTTTTTACCACGTGTTAAGTCCTCGGGCCCCTTCGGAGTTGGCAGGCATTAGCCCTGCGGACTTGGCGTATTTCCGACCGGTCTTCGGACCTGTCTGAGCTATGCCTGCCCCGGGTCCCTCGGAGTTTTGATCTGATCTGCCACTTCTCGGACCTCGTCGGATTCGGGGAAAAAGTGCGTGTGCCTAGCCTAGGGCTTGTGGCTGCACTGTGACTAGCATGGCGCAAGCTTCCGAAGTAAGCCCAGGACCTTCGGGTAATCGTTCTGAAGAACAACAAAGTCCTAGGAAATCCTTTTTGCGTGATCGTGAGCCTGATTACAAGATGCATGCAGCACAGCACTTCCACGAATTCGCGACATGCATGAGATGGATTGCGGTAATCAGATGAAATGCATGTTTTTCAATATGTGAGGTTTGCTGATTTGCACGAAAGTGCTGTACAGGTGGAGCTGTTGTTTCCAGCGCCACGGCCATCAGCTGGCAAAATGTGACCTTCCCTTGAGAATCCACATCCCGCCTGGCATGTTGCAGTTGCTCCGGTGTTTTGTGTTTCTTTTCGTTGACGTTCTGTTGAGATCGCCTGTTGGTGCGTGCTTTGGGTTTTCGAGAGTAGTTTCGAATGAATTCAGAACGTGCACAGCCCGTATTCAGTTGCAGGTTGCAGGTCTGGAGGTTGTGCCTCACAGGTAATTTATCTCTCTTTGGGCGACAACCTCTGGTGCCACTGCCCGGTAAGATTTCCGACTCTCCAGGAATTCGATCGCAAAGCACGGGAATTCGTGGCATCCTGCGAAAGTGCAGGTGGCCGTTAGAGTCCGAGGCACGAGTTTCCAAGCTCCACTGCTCTTCACGAGCCCCAACAATGCCCTAGCAGACGTTCCTGCGGCCCGACAGTGTGAGTATCAGTAAATGGCCTCGTGGTGCATGTCGGACATGAGTCCCAGATGATGCATGAAACCAGAAAAAGTTGTTGGCCAGCGTTGAACGACTGAATGCGTGTCTGTTTGCCCTGCTGATCCCGAGAAGCGCACAAGCCTTGGCCGGAGGTGCTCAATTGGTTGACGTCGCATCAGGCTTCCGCGTGTTGCGCCGTGGTGTCCGGAGAAATAGACATAGTGCCACAAATTTTTATCTCCAAGTTTGCATTGCAGCCTGGCTTTCTTTCTGCCGCAGGGTCTGTCTAAGCTCCGGCAGTTTGGACAGGTGGCATTTTTTGAGCATGCGTCTGCTGTTCTTCAAGAAGAACATGTTGGATATCTCGCCTTCACATCGGCTTCTTGCAATGACTCGGGGGCTGTCAGACCTTTCGGGATACTTTCGAGACACCGGAATGGTGGAACACAGCGATGCAGTACACTCCGTCATTGCAACTCAAGCACTTCACACCGGCCTGCTACTAGGTTTGCGGTCGCCGATCAAAACTAAAGTGCCGGGGAACAAAGCCCAGCCGAAGATGCATGAGCCAAAACAGTGAAGGAGAGTACCAGGCCGCAACAAGCGGCTTTCGGAGTTCGCTCCAAGCATGCCAGGTAGGTCCCAAGGGCTGGGCATGAGCGAGTGTGGGAAACCTTGACGGAGCCGGAAGGATTTGGTGCTGGTAGAATGTTGGCCTTGGTCGGGTCGTGATGCATTGAGGGCTTTCCCAATTGGGGACTGCTTGATTGGGACTGCTTGATTGCGTGCCATTTTTCATCAGGGCCCCCGCCGTCTGGCACTGCTTGCCCCGCTGAAGATTCGCCAGCGCCGTCGTTGTTGCATCAGCCAATATCCGTGAACAGCAGGGATAGTGAGAGAAATAAGGGCCCAGAACCCTGCGACAAAGAATGTGTCTTTCGCACAGTCGCGCAGCACACGGAGCCCAAGATAAGCTAGAACTTCAAGCTGTGCAAGCCAAGGGGAAGGATGGCGAATCGAGAAGCCTCATGCGAGGTAAATCTCAGAACTTAGTGACCTAGTGCTCCAAGACCACTTCGGTTCTTGTTCATGAACCCCCAACATGTTACATGTGCGAAGTCTCCAGCACGATAAAGGCTTTCTGAGTAGCTCAGACTCTGCACTGCCTGCCTTCATGACGGGGGCCTGGCATGCAGAAGTTGCTGGAACCTCGGAGGAACTTCTGCTGTCATGGCCCTGCATAATTTTGTCGAGCGGAAGTTGTAGAGGAGAATAGATAAGATGCACCCCTCCTGTCCTGTCCTGTCCTGTCTGCAGGCGTCTACATAACCAGTGCCTTTGACGAAGACATTGCTAGCACAAGCCTACGCTTCCAGGGTTGCGAGAAGATGGCCCTTATCGCCTTGCGTGGCCACGATCCGTAATCTTGACGGGGAGATTGAGGTCACGTGCCAGATGCGTAAAACGCGTAGAGATAGATCAGTTATACTACACATATACATATACATATACATATACATATACATATACATATACATATACATATACGTATACGTATACATATACATACACACACACACACACTGTTTGTAAGTATGCACATACATGCCTCCATACATACATATATTCACGGACCAGGTGCGGATACATCCATCCACCCATCCATCCGTCCTTCCATACATCCATCCATACGTACACACATACATTCGTACATAACTACATACATACATACATACTGTGTATAGACAGAAGCTGAATAACTACATTTATGTATGTATATGTACATGTAGATGTAGATGTATCTGTATATGTCTTTATGTACATACATATACATACGATGTATGCATAAACCTGCAAAACGAGGACTATATATATATATATATATGTGTTACCTAGTGCGTATCTGCCTATCTATCTATCTTTGTATCTATCGATCTATGCATCTGTGTATGTGTGTATTTATCTGTACAGATTCAGTCATGCAGAACAAACGAATAAAGTATGTACATATATTTATATATATATATATATATATGTATATCTATATGTTTATATGTGTATATATATATATATATATATATATATATGTATGTATATGTATATGTTTACGTACACGTATATGCACATGATGTATATGTATATGTATTTGTATTTGTACATGTATACGTACATGTTTGTTCATTTATTTTATTTGTTCATTGGTTTATGTATTTGTTTGTGTATTAGCTTTTGTACATATGTACATATGCATACATGCATTAGCAGCTATGTGTACCTAGGTGTACAGCGACCTTCGACCACATACATATGCAACACCAAGGTGCCTTCAAAGATCCTGTGATGGGAGTGGCCGCTGGGCAATGCCGGAGGTTTGTTTGTCAGGCTAAAAAGGGCCTTTCTTTTTCACACTGCTCGTAAAAGATCCAATGATCGTGCTGTTGGGTTTATCCTCCTTGGCAGCCTTGAGCAAACGGTGTTTGCCACGCCTCTCAGTACAACCCCATGGACCCCGGGTTGGGGGATGTGAACAGCTAGCCTTTGGTTGTGGATTCAAATCCTGCGACTGCGGTAGAACCTCTCCCACCCTCTCTGCGTGTGTCTCTCTCTCTCTCTCTCTGGCTCTCTCTTTGTGTTCCGAGCTGTACATAGACTGTAGTCCTTTCTTTTCCGTTTGCGTGCTTTGCCTGGAAGTCAGAGTCGTCTGTGTGCTTCTTCATTGTGCGATTAAGGGAGCACCGCAAGGATCAAGGCGCCTGTTGGACACTAGCTGTTCTGAAAACTCTACTGCGCAGCTGGTTGTGCCCTCGCTCGGCTTGGCGGGCTGGCACGGCAACTTCAGCCAAACTGACTTGATGGGCAATTGTTCGTCGGGCCTGTTTTCCTTCGTTTGCAGTGTTACGGAGGCCACGTTCTTTGCCGACTTATGATAGGAAGATAACGTGTTGAGACCATTGCTTCAGCTCAGGATCCCTGTTTTGAATTCCGGCGTCAGTGTGATGCCTCCGTGTTAATGCCCAGCGCTACAACGGGTTTCAGAAGATACTTGAAAGACCTCGAAGCAGAAACGTATCTCCTCCCGTCACAGCGATGACCTCGTTGCCCAAAGCGCATCAGCCCTGGTTTTAGGAGGCTTTGTTGGGGCCCAGACTAAGGTCGAACAGCTCAACTGCACAGCCCGCGAGTTCGTCCACCGTGCGCTGCATGGGGTTCTCGACCAGCTTCGATACACAGGACGGCTCCGACGACTCCTCAGGCGTGTTCGTGGCCGGGAGCGTGCATGGGAGTGCCCATGTTAAGAGTCGTAGGAGTAGGAGTAGCAGGAGTAGGAGGAGGAAAGTGCCACGAGCGGCTCAGATTGAGCGGGCGGCATGCCAGGGGCTTGGGGCCTACATTTAACTGTAAAGGCCCACTAGAACGTCCCCAAAACTGAACTTCAACTTGATCCGGAGACGCTGAGAGTACATGGACGTTGCCCTGATTTACTGCTGCCGATCGGAAGACCTCTGTACCAAAATCATTGAAGATCCATACATCAGAGGCCACTCGTTCCGGTCCCAACTCCGGATAGCTGCAGAAAGCTGAACTTCAGTTGAACCACCTTATGCAGCTAGGCACGAGGGTTGCAGCCGGTTCCTCAGCCACTGCTGGAGTCCCTCGTGGGACGAAGAATGAGGATGTGGAGCCCACAACCAAGCGTGGGGCGACGAGAGTGTGCAAGCGCTCATACAAGAGGGCGCTTCGAAGAGCTGAGATCGAAGGCTCGGCGGTCCATAGGGGCCATCGAATATATGCTGCGCAACGGGAGGTCTTTCATCCAACACCTGCGAAATCAGAGCGGAGGGACCCACCTCGGATAGAATGCGCCACCTGAAACTGCGGAGGGCTTTCGCAGGAGCTTTTTCTGGAGATCCAAACGTGGTTGCGCACTAAGCCGAACATTGCGATTTTCACTGTTCAAGAAACGCACTGGTCTATG